TATTCTAAAAGAAACATAACAATATATATTGTTTTATGTACTTTCACTTTTCACGTATAGTATAACTACTCTTTAAGATTAAGTACTGTGTATAAAAATAGAGCTAATAAAAATTTTTCATTGTTATTTTCGTTTTTATCACCCCAAAATTAGTAGAAATTGACTTATTTAGTGTAGGAAACATTCAAAAAATATTTTTTTGTTGTGTTGTGTATCGATATTTCTAGAAATATTCCTTTTTATCTGGCATATAGTAATTCCAACAACCCAATAAGGTTTGTTGAGTTATTTTTTGTTCATAAAAACGACAAATAGTGTCAGTACGACAATGAACATCATTGTTCAGTTAGAATTGTCCCATTTAGTTTTCGATTTTACTAGTACAAAGGTACCACGTCAACAATCTCTAAAATGATCAATTCTCGTCCATTGGAAGAAAAACTTGAGGCGATTTTTATTTACGGTGCGACGCATAACTTTCACGAGATCGAAAGGATTTTCAATGAACGTTTTTCGAGTCGTCCTATCTGTAGAAAATATTTGAGGAAACTTGTATCCAAATTCACAACTACCAGTAGTGTACATAACAAAAAGCCCCCAGGTCATCCACTTAAAATGTTTATATTTCCTTTCTCTAACATCTACACCTTTCTCAGTTGGTTACAAACTTGTCAACAAATCCTCTGATTTATCTATCAGTTTATAAATTTTATCAACCGTTATTATAGGACTGCCCCTACAGTACTGGCAGGAAGCCTTGAGCTCCTGAGGCCACAAAGTGTCAAATGTGGGAAAAATTACTTTTATAATTGTGTTGTAAACAATGCCAAAATGTCCATAAGATATAAATTATATTACACCTACAGCACAAATGTTTCAATTCTAAGGGGACTGTAATGCACCCAGGCTCCGCAAGAAAGAAATGAGGATATCTCTTCAATACTTGAGACGTTGTTGTTTTGAAGTTATACTTTACCTTAGATATAGCTAGATCGCCAGCTTACCTACTGTAAGCTGGCGGTAATGAATTCATCTACACTACATAGACATAAAAGCATATACCCTACACTAATATTTTTCCCCTTTTTGGACCGAGGACACCTCGGTCCAAACATTTTTTGAAACCCACCAATTTAACTCCGACATGAGTGGCCGCTTTTGCAGGAGCACCACTTTCAAAACGTCTTAAGGATATTTCTGCGATGGTGCATCTCTAGATATATTATAAATTATTGGGTGATTCTCTAATGTTCTGGTATTGATCAAACAATATTATCATCAAAAAACAGATCATAAAACAACTCGAAATTTATAAAACTTTCAATATTGAAAAAATCATTTCAAGGTTTTAATGAGATACAAAAGTTATACTCAGTTTTTTATTGTCCTCAATATTTTTTTCTTTGTTCCAGAGAGGAGCTAGCAATGAAAATAGGATTAACGGAAGCGAGAATACAGGTAAGATTCCTAATCCACTAACTCTAATCGTTTAACATCAAGCTCTTGAGATGTGTAGGTTATTACGTTGCGTTTATAAATTTTGCTCAAAGGAAAAAATGGTAACTGTTTCATATCATATAAAATAAGATAGATTTATCGGATTCCTGCGTAAAAGGATTCTAAAATAATTACCGTCCAATTAATATGAATGCAGCAGCATCAGATAATTTGCCATAATTGAGAAGCATGTGCACAGTTAAAGCAATAAAGAGGTTTGAGTTAATTTGATTACTCATATTTAATTAAATAACAGTACAAATCTGAGTAATAAACAAAATAATTATAATTTTTACGGCAGAGAACGAGGAGCGATATTTCAGATGACTAACATCAGTTACTTGAAATAATTGAAATATATCTTTTTCATTTCGCTAAGGTCAACTTGATTTTAATTTTTAGTTCTTTCTCTAAAAAATGTGCACTGGAATGCATTCGATTCATCAATTTACACTACGGAAAAATTAACAATCTTTTCTCTAAGTAGATTCAACGAGGTACTCAAAATTTGTCAAGTTTAGGTTTCAATTCTGAACCGAATTCGAGAAAATGAATAATGTTATACGTGATCTATTTTTTTAAAACAAAACACAAGCAGTACAGAAATATCCTCAAGGCTGGAGATTGAATCTATTTGGAAGTTAATTCCACATAAAATGAAAGAGTTCTTGAACAGTGAAGTTTTTTCCACTTCAACGCCGTTCTCCAAATGAAAGAGTTCTTGAACAGTAAAGTTCGAGGTGTACTGAGTTGAACCTCAAAACGATGAGCAGCCACAGACCGTCGCGTATTTCTGATATGTACCGCTCTTGCTGGAATCAAATGTGCCAAGTCACTTGAACACTTCCCGTGAAAGTATCTATAGAAGAGAGACAAATCTCCAACCTTTCGTCGGTGTTCCAAACTATCAAAGTTGCGAGTGGGTTATTGAAATTTATAGAAGCCTGTTCTTCTGCTATATTTTCTCAGGCCCCTCTTAATCAGCTTGACAACAACAAAAAATGGAACTTACGCCAGTTCAACAAAAATTATGAAAATAATGAGTCCTTCTAGTCATCTCCAGAATGTGTAGTTGATAAAACAAACAGTTTCATGTAGATGAACAAAGAGATTTTCATTTCACCGGAAATTCAACTAACAGAAGCAAGGTATAACGATCGAAAACACAAAAAAAACGATCTAAGACGCACGCAAAACGATCGAAACCATTATCATGGCATATATGTGTAATTATATCAATTTCCTTAGCTAGATTATTAGTAGACAAAGGCAGTGAGAAAGCTCTGTGCAGCATTGAATTGTAGGCCGCCAATTTATGACTGTCAGGATGAAACAGTATGCTGCAAAATTCAGGTACTCAATCAAGCTTAGTACCTGTATTATTACCTACAGGGGTGTTATACAAAAAGTAATGTTAGTTTAATGTATAAGTTTGAAAATGTCCTTATTGGACCAAACTGCAGTAATGTTAGTTACAAATAAAAGTGATAAAAAACAAAGAAAGTTCCAATTATCTTTTCTTCATTATGATTTCCTACCACGTAGTTAACGGCTACATCCATTAATTTACAGACTAAACAAATTGGGAAAAACAAATTCCGAAAAGAAGCTTATTGTCAGATTCATTCTTCGCAGTGATACATTTCGAAAAACTGATATTTCACATTGGCTTTCTACTTCTTCATCTTCATCTTTATACAAAAAAATATTGGAGTCTTATATAGAAAGAAAGAAATTTTACTTCTTTCATTTAGTATATTGTGTAGGAATCCTGAGAATGATATCTGATTCGATTTCATTACGATTGTTTGGAATACAAACTGAATAGAGAAAGGTGTTTTTCCTATGGACCAGTGGTCATATAGAAGTATTTGTTTCAAAGGTATTTTTCTTTCGTATTTATATGATAATATAAAACTAGCTGTTTCGAGATGACATATCTTTTTGTATAAAGATGGAGAACTGAAAGTCAAAACCTTTTTTTCCCCAAAAATTATTCTCTTCTAAAAATATATGCTTTTCAATCTAAACTGAATACTACATGGGCTTAAAAGTCTTGGGCCTAACATATAGATGGCGCTAATCTCGTTGCCCATTGCTTTTTTAGTTAGTACTAACCATCAAAACAGAGCTGTTGAAATTTCATGATATTCTACTCATAAGTTTGTGAGTTATTGTGCTGAGAGTAACACTACTTTTGTTATTTTCAAATCAATGGATCAAAAACAATTTGGTGTTTTAATTCTACAGTGCTTCTTGCTGTAAAAAATATCGTTCAAGAGAAGTAATGGCTTGAAAAGTGTTATAAGGACTCCGCTCCAATTGAACGTTGGTTTGCTGACTTCAGACATGGTCGTAGAGACACCGATGATGTAGAACGCAGTGCACGTCCAAAAATCCTCAAAATCGTTTTGAATGATCAAATAGTGAAGTTGCGTGAGTTACCTGACATTGTAAAGATATCAAAAGAATGTATTGGCTTTATATTGCATGATCATTTGAGTATGAGAAAGCTCTGTTAGAAATAAGTGCCACGCGAGCTCAGTGTTGACCAAAAACAAGAATGTCTTGATGATTCTCAGCAGTGTTTGGTCATGTTCAAACATAACAAACCGGAACTTTTGTGTAGATATGTGACAATGGATGAAAGATAAATCCATCACTTCACTCCGGAATCAAAACGATTGTCATCTGTGTGGAGAACAACCTGGTGAACTTCATTCAAAGCGCTCGAAAGCACAACAATCGGCTGGAAAAGTTATGGCTTCGGTATTTTGGGACTTGCGTGGTGTAATATTCATCGACTACCTTGAGGAAGGGAATACCGTCAACAGTGACTATTATATAGCGTTATTGGAGCGTTTGAAAGCCAAAATTGCAAAGAAACGACCGCATATGGTATAGAAAAAAATTTGTTTCATAAAGACAACGCGGCGTGTCACAATTCAATCGAAACAATGGCAAAACTACATGAATTGAACTTCGAATGGCCCCCACATCCACCGAATTCACCAGATTTGGCTCCCAGCGACTACTGGCTCTTCGCAGAGCTCAAACAAATGTGCACCGGTCAGAAATTTCGTTTGAATGAAGAGCTTTTTGCTAAAATTAGGGTCTATTTTGAGGCAAAAGATAAATTGTCCTGCAAAAGTGGTATTGAAATGTTAGAGCGGCGCTAAAATGATTGTGTGGCTCGTGATGGAGGTTACGTTGATGAATAAAACCAATTTTGATAAAAAAAACCTTTTCTTTCTCAGGTCCTGGACTTTTCAGACCATCTGTTGTAATTTTCTGGCATCATTACGAACATTGAAACAGTAGATGTTTTAGAGTAATCAGGAGACCAGAAATAACAGCTTTCAAAATTCCATTGAAATAAATTATCTTCCAAAGATTGGGAATCCACAGTGAAATCAAATTATGTAACGAATTACGAAGCGAAAAATAAAATTACAGAAAAGTAATTATAGTTGGTACTACTGGTTAACACCGTGAAGGGCATGAGTAGGCACATTTCTTTTAACTATATAACAACTCATCTTAATCGAATACAGTCACCGATACCTGATTTTATCAATAGAAATGAATATGCTACAGACTACGCAACGTTATTGTGATTGGCCGATATTACACTCTTATCGTATGAACATCATCTTATTTAGAGCGTGATACATGCATTTCTCGCTTGCTTTTGCTTTTTGTTTTCGTTGGTAATATATATGCTTTGATGGGTAATTAAATCAGAATCACGAGGAGATTTTGTATTGTCATTGGAATTGAATTCATTCAATAGTTGGGCATTTCATGGGAAGAAGTCTCTAAAGGACAATTAATCATTGAAAAACGGTAAAACGATGTGTCGGTAACCAATATTTTTTTTAATAATATTTATTACACTGGTCTACAGTGGTTTTGTTGCCCCAGATATAAGATTGATTTGGGGTGTATTTATACTCACAATTCATGAAATTATCAATGGTTTTATAAGATTTGCTCTCGTTTTCTTTTAAATATTTATTTTCATTTTACATTACAAAAATTCGAAAACAAGAAACAAAATAACAGATATATTTATAATCTCAGTTTTATTCGGAAAAAAATATGATACTTTGAAGTAAATAGAGAGGGGAATTTCGAAAACATGTTATATTTCCATGAAACGCCTTTTAAGAGCTTTTCTTTTATTATTTTTCAGAGGACAATCTCTTTTTAAAGACCAGCAGTAATCGGCCATCAAGTGACAATCCCATCGACCCTGATATCATTCTTCCATTAGTTTTAGATCCTGGTGGAACCGCTCTCCTCACTATAATTTCCTAAATTATCTAGAAATTTATCCAAATGGTTGCGAAGATAGTGTAACTTGATACTCATATTTGCTCCTAGAATCTGAAAGTTTGTCAGCATATTTTGTACAATTTCTTCATAATTTGGTGCTTTATGGTTACCTAGGAAATTTTCGACTACCAACACAAAACTTTCCCAAGCTTTACTTTACGGAACATTCATAACTTTAATAAAATCAGTGTCTTTTATCAATTGCCGTATTTGAGGACCATCAAATATTCCACCTTTAAACTTTTCCATACTAAGTTTTGGAAATTTTCTACAAATATATTTAAAACAATCTCCTTCCTTGTCCAAAGCTTTTACGAATTGCTTTATCATTCCTAACTTAATATGCAATGATGGAAGTATAATTTTGTCTCTGCTCACCAACGGCTCTCTTATTACATCAGCTTTACCGACAGTTAAAAAATTTCTTTCAGGCCAAACATCTTGTTCCCAATGACGTTGCTTTGCTCTACTATCCCACATACAAATGAAGCAAGGGTATTTCGTGTATCCGCTTTGTTGACCAAGTAAAAAATTAACCATTTTTAAATCCACACAGATCGACCATTGATGCTCCGATGAATTGACTATTTCTAAAACTAATTTGACATTTTCATATTCTTCTT